TCGGCCAAATCAGCTATATCCATCGGCTGTAGAACATATGACCTTAAAAACATCGCTATAACCTTAGGATTGTTATGTTTCCTGTATTTTATCACAACAGTAGCATAATATATTCCGTATTTATCATGTCACTAGATTTTCACTTTTCCGTCAACACATTTCATGACTAACAAGTTCACGTGAAAAGTTTCACGTTTCGCCGAGTTATGTGATTACGAGTTCATGTGAAACTTTTTACTTTTCACGTTTCCGCCCTAGGGGAAAAGTTACATGATCGCTGCCCTGGGTTGAATTTTTCGAGCATTTTCTAGAGTTTTTTTACATTATACGGTAAAATACGTATATTTTGACGGGTGGGACCCGATTGACCACGATACGATTGGACACAGATTATAATGATTGGTTGGACCTAGTAATTCACTAGATAATTCTTTTCATCGGTTGGTTGTGTCCAATCGTACCGTGGTCACGTATCGGGACGCTCCCTATTTTGACTATATAACCATGGACTGTTAGCGGTGATTCTAAAGGTGCCTTTACATCGAGGGAGCGTTGAGCGTTAAAGCGGTAGCTAATTAACGTGCCACTTTCCGCAAGAACTATAAGTACTAAATGATACTTCAAGTACAAGATACTTCTGGAACCTGATACGTTGATTGGCTAACGCTTTAACGCTTGACGCTGGAACGCTCCCATATATTGGCATCTTAAGGGTGCAGTCCCATGGCACGTCTTTTCACGTAACGTGTAACCGCGTAACCAATCACATCTTTCTATTCTTTTAGAAGTTCCAACAGAAATACTAAACGTCGCAATTTATTGATTACGCGTTTACGCGTACGCGGAAATACATGCCATGGGACTTCAGCCTAATGGCTCTTGCAGACCAGTGCGACACGACACACGATATCTAATGATATTGGTATTCCGGAAAAGCTGTACCCTCATTGAATATCGCGCATCGCATATCGTGTGTCGCGTCGCAAATCGCGCTGGTCTGCGAAAGCCACAAGGCCGACGTCCCATGGGGTGGAAATTCACTGCGGAACGGAACACGCGGAACCAGTATGACCAATCACAGCCGTTCCGCTCTTTTTTGTGCCGCTTCGCTATAATCTTATGGCTCCTGCATACACGACGCGGTAATGCTTGCTGCGCGGCGGAAGTTCGCGCGACAGCCAATCAATATGGGTGTATATCAGTTGGACACGGGGCAATTGGACACAGTCCAATCACAAGTCGCTGTTCCAAGGGACCCTACAAATGTCTCTAATCATATGGTGCTGTGATTGGCTGTGTCCAAATGCACCGTGTCCAAGTGCACCGCTCCCAATCAATATGCTGCTTTCCGTAATGACCTTCTAGCACTTATGGAAAAACAGCATATTAATTGACTGTCGCGCAGACTTCCGTCGCGCGGCAAGCATTACTGTGGCGGTTTGTGCTACGTGTCGCGTTCGTGCGTAAGTCTTTCGCGCACCGCTCGAGTCTTGGATTTTTGACTCTAGATGTCAGGATATCTATTAGAGAATCGATCGAACGTGAACCGACGATATAACAGATAATACGGTTTATTACAATCACAACTTGAAGTTATTATTGATACAATCACAGATTCTTTATCACACGAAAAATACATGTTAGAGATCTATCACAGCCTTGTGTTTTCTTGACAGTCTCCTTTGTCCTGTGTTCTGTCCGTCGTTAAGAACAGTCTCTCGTTTGGTGGGAGGCGTCGTATAGGGACCCGGCAGCTCTCCTCGTGATTGGACAAGTTGCTGCCACATTACTGCATCCTGTGTGCAGAAGCCATTAGGCCGATGTCCCATAAGGCGGAAATTCTCCGCGGAACGGAACATGCGGAACCAGTACGAACAATCACAGCCGTTCCGCTTTTTTTGTGCCGTTTCGCTATAATCTTACCGCTGCAATCTTGCGGAAAGGATAAAGATAGTCGCGGATAACCTCAACATATCTTACATATCTCATTTGTTTCTTATACATTTATTATATTTTTTTTCGACATTCTTTATTATTTCGCTTAGAAATGATAAGTGGAGGGATCGTAAGTAATAAGATGTTAATATTTTGATAATTATAATAAACAATTATGTATAATATGTGAATATGTTTATTTGTTTATATGTTTAATTAACAACCAACAACAACAAAAATCACATAATATATTCTCCATAATTAATCACAACATATCTCACTTTATTATACTACATAATGGAAGCTTTCCATCAAGGCATTTAGGCAACACACATCAACACGGTGTCAGACACGGTGCTTTCCAACAACGACACGCTACGGCACAGTTAGACACAACAGAAGAGCATAGTCGAACACAGCATCTAGTTCATGGTTGCCAATTTTTGAGATGGTATTCTAGAGAATTTTCATTTTATACATGTGGTATTGTATAACAATCGCAATGTTCAATGATTTAACCTAATTGTTCGATCGCTTGCATTTCGGGCGGTATTTTTAACTCGTTTATTATTCGCATTATTTTTACTGTGTAGATGATCAAATCATTTCGACCAAATTATACACAATTGAGTGGACCTTGGTGGACATTACTCAAGAGTTCTTTGAGACGATTATAGGTATTTGGTTCCCTTATAGAAATATCATACTAAGAAATACTGAAAAATTATTGTATTAGTGATTAAATATTACTAGTAATTCTGTAATTTTTTGGCCAATACTTAATTTCTGGTGAATACTGATAATAAAATCAATGTTAAATATTGATAGTAATTAAATACTGAGAATTATTATGCAAAGGTGAAAAATGAGAAAATTAAAATGTTTACAGAAATATACTTATATTCCTAATTTTCACATGTCTCATAAACTACTAGAATATCGAAGGTTGTCAACACATTCCAAACTTTCATGAATCCTCCTACGATAATTTCGATCCCAAGCGGTAGAAAAACACCGGTCACCCATCCATCCCTGACCGCACTAAACTGTTGCTTAACGTGACGGATCGAGCGCGCACGCGGTGACTTTGGCTGCATTCAGCAGACTCAACAGTTACACAACAGTTGAGTAATTTGTCAATGTAATTGGTCTAGATTTAGGGAT